AGCAGAGCGGCCAGCAGGGGGGTGTGGCCAGCAGTGTTGCTTGTGGGTCGTGCGCCGCGTGGACGCTCTGAGGCATGGCTCGCTCGTCTGCTGGAATCCCCTTGGGTCACATCCCTCATTTATGTCTCCCTCTGTGGAGAGCCACTCCACAGGCCTGGGGGAGGGGGGGTGTTCTTGTTGTCTTGACTTGGGTCGTGCGCCGCGTGGACACTCCGAGGCATGGCTTGCTTGTCTGCTGGAATCCCCTTGGGTCACATCCCTCATTTATGTCTCCCTCTGTGGAGAGCCACTCCACAGGCCTGGGGGAGGGGGGTGTTCTGGTTGTCTTGACTTGCTGTTCTGCGGGGCTAGGCCGCTCGCTGGACGCTGGAGCGTTCAGGATGGTCACCAGGTCTCCTAGCTGGGCAGAGGCTGGAGCTCTGAGGGCTGAGCCTGAGGCTGGCAGTGCCCTGTGCGACCACCAGGTGGCGCGTGAGGCCCGTGGATGGGCAGCACAGAGCAGCTCAGGCAGGAGGGAGCCTGGCCAAGGCCGAGGCAGCCGCCTGGCCCCGAGGCCTTGTAGGTGTGAGATGCCGCCCTGGGCCCCATTCTCACGTGGGCTTTCCTTTCCTGTCCTTTGCGTTTGCACGTGCGCACGTGGGACACAACAGTGCAGTGCGGGGTGTAGGGGCCTGGGTCCTCGCCTTCCCCAGCCCTCCCCGGGCTGGTCCCAGCCTCTTCCTGCGGGGATGCCCGTGCACGCGCCACACTCACCTTCAGTGGAGGCCCAGCTTCACGCTTGCAGACACGTTGCAGGAACAGTGCTGTGCCAGACCCGTTTCCGTGGTCCCTGTGACCCCTGACCCCTGAGAACGTCGCTGTGTGTCTCCTCAGGACAAAGACTTTCTCTCGGTCCCAGCGACGTCAGTCAGGACGTGTAACATCGATGGGCACTGTTGTCTAGTCCGCGGGCCATGTTCACTGGACCGTTGTCCCCTGATGTCCTTCCCTCTTCCTTCCGGTCTGGGATCTGGGACGGCGTGGTGTCTGCCGTCACGCCGCTCGCCTCCGTGACCCTGGAGCAGCGCCCGCTTGCGGTGTGGTCTCGGCCTGACGTTCTGAGGATCACAGGCCCCTCGGGTGGGGGGTCTCGCGTCCTCTGGTGACACGTGGGCCAGTCATTTGTGTCCTTGGTGGCCGTAGCACCGTGTGCTGGCCTGTCCAGCCGTGACAGGCCCATTGGGTCACGTGGCTCAGGCGGTGCCCCAGGCTCCAGGGGCCAGCTGTCCTTTCCCTTTGGGGTTCAGAAGGGTCTTAGAGACACGGTGGGTGCGTTGACATGATGTGTTTTCTGTCCCCACGAGCAGTGTTTCCCTCCGGTCCTGGAGGTGCCTGCTCTGCGCGTGCCCCGCAGGCCGGGCACGGCCGCTCCTCCTGGTGGGCACGCGGTGACACGGACTCTGTTGTTGCTGACGACTCGAGGCCTGCACCTCACATGCCGCCTCGCCCTGTGCTGGAGACGTCCCAGGTGTCCCCAGTGTGGCTGGCGGGGAGGGGCGGGCGTCTTACCACCAGCGAGGAGGGACGGCCTGCGTGCAGGACTCGGTGCTCCCGCCTCCCAGTCACGTGTGGTTTGAGCCTGTGCGGTAGCCGCCAGCACCCTCTGCCCCACAGGTGGTGCGGGCCGGTCCCACAGGTGGTGCGGGCCGGTCAGAGCGGCCGTGAGCGCAGGTCCTGGGGACTGGCTGCCTATGGGGGTCGGGGAGGGGGCTCTCTCTGCAGCTTCCTCACCGGGACCCTGACCTTGAGCCGGTGGCTGACTCACTCCTCTGTGGGCACGATAGCAGCTCTAGGTGCAGAGTACCGCACACAGGGCCAGGGGTGCCAGCACACAGTAGACACTCAGGAAAGTTAGTCAGTTTTTCTTGTTTCCATTTGCATTGGCCTGTGGCCCTGCAACTTGACTCCAGAGCATGGACAGACACGTCGCTGTGTGGCTTTGGCATGTCAGGCGGTCTGCAGGGACTTCCTAGGCGTGCGCGGGTTTCTGACGGGCGAGGAGCGAGGCGGTGGAAGCCAGGCTGCCTGATGGGAGTCCCGTTCCGGGCCAGGCTCTGCGTCCTGAGCGAGTCTCCTCGCGGTGTTGTCATTGGGGTCACTTTTGGAAACCAAGTCACACCTAAGATAGAGCTTTACAGCCACTGGGAAAACGTGAGAGAGGCTGAAGGTAACACTTCAACATCAGGTTCTTCGTTAGGTTGGTGGTATTACGGGTTTTTCTTCAGAATTCTATTTAACCATCTTGTCTAACAACAAAAAGCTAAGCCCAGATCTTTCAGAGTTCAGTAGTCACTGGGTTTTGTTTAGTGGCAGGAGAAATCACAGGCAGTACATTGCCGTCTTTGTAAGGCACGTACAGTAGCTTCAAGGATGGCAGAAGCATTATCTTCACGTTACGTGGAAGACGTGAGTGGCAGGTGTCTGCCGTGGGAAGCACGCAGCCGGGTGAAGTGCCCAGAAACGCTCTCCCCGCCGAGCGCGTCCTG